AATTGGCCGCGCGTGAAAAAATTTTTTGGCGGGAAAATTTTTGGCGGGAAAAATTTTACGGTAAAATTTTACAAGGTTTTTAAAGGTTTTACAAGTGTTTTGGCGGGAAAATTGCGGGATCACTTTTCCCGCCAAAAAATATTTTGTATTTTGTGGACCTAATTTTGTTTCAAATAAGGGTAAAATGGTCATTAAAAATTAAAAGAGGGCAAACTTAAAAATGGACTCTCAAAGGGGGCATTTTTGAAAAGGGGTATTGAAAAAGGGGCATTTTTAACAATTTCTCTAGTTAAAACGACAACTATTCGAAAACGGAGGGAGTATGCAACTAATTAAAATAACAATATTAAAAAACAAATTAATAACCAAACATATACACATATTAAATATACTTACCTTAAATATATATTTCAAAATTTTAAACATTTAATTATATATATATAAAGATTTTATTCTATTTTGGAAAATTATTATTTCCTAAATTATAAAAACCTAAACTTTGTATAAATGTTTAATGTGGTTGGTGCATGTATCATTGGTGCATATAAGGCATAATTATATGATTAATTTTATGTCATATATTTAATTTTTTTTTATATTAGAAGGAATAATTTTCCAAATATGGAAGAAATCTTTATTTATAAAATAATATTTGAGATTTTGATACATATACTATGATAAGTATATTTAATATTTGTATTTTTGGTTATTATTATTTTTTAATTTTGTTATTTTTAATTAATTGCATATATTTTTACCTAATTTATATTACCAGGTTTTAGTATATATACACGTTCTGTTTGTACTAACATTAAAATGTTTCTATAGCCCAATGGTTGAGTGTCTCTTATTGTTGTAACAGGTCAGCAGTTCGATTCTTTGGAGATGCCATTTTTCCTTCTTATTTTCTGGTGAAACGACGTCGTTTGAAAAACTTCAAAACGACGTCATTTTGATCGAACGGAGAATCTAACGGATTGTTAACAGCGTCAGCATCGTTCTAACGGAGACTTAACGAGACAGGTCAACGGAAACTTTGTGATTAAAGAAATATTTCGAGAGTTCATGTTTTAATCGTCCCAAATTTAAAAGTTGGCACATTTTTCGACATTTTTCCCATTGATCAATGCTTATGTTTCCCTGATTAGTAATCTTTCGTTGTAAAAGTGAGGCTATGCTAAATGCTATTGCGTGCTATATAATAGCTGTCGATTTATTCATCTTGAAATTATGTGACTATTTCAATGAAACCCTCTTTTGGAATTAACTTTATATCGGTAACGCCCCTCTTTAGCATATTGTTGACTTTTTCAAAAATTACTCGTGGGATACATTTACTCAAAATTGAAATTCGATAAATTGTGGTGACATATACATTATTACTCTTGTGATTCTAAAATTAAATAGTAAAAGAGAAATATAGAAATATATAAATTTGTAAAAGGAAAAAAAGAAAGAGGTCTAAGAATATGATAATTGGGGTGTAAGATAGGGGTGGGCACAGCGCGGATATCCGAGTTTGTAGTGGTATTTGTTATTCGATTCGTTTTTTCCGAATACTAAGTTTTTCGATTCGTATTTGCTTCGTTAGTGACCGGATACCCGGCTGTTCGAATATCCGTTAAAATCCAAACTATTTGCCGGATATTCGATCCGTTAAGTATTTGTTTAAAATTAAACAAAAAAAAAATTTAATAAATAAAATCTAATCCAAAAATTGTAAAATTTTATTAAAAATAGTAATATTTTATCAAAAATATATATATTTCTCCTTTAATTGTTCAAACTAGTAGTTCAAATAATTAATTCAGAGATTAAAAATTATAAAACGCTTACAAGAATAATAAAATTATAATTTATATATGTAATAATCTATATATATGTATGTATTCCGGAGCGAATCGGATATCGGCTAATTTAAATTATAGTATTTGATATTTGCTCCGATTTTTACGAATATCTATTTTTAATATTTGATTTGCTTCGAAAAGTTACGGATATCCGGATTTTTCAAATCGAATCGAATCGAATAACAGATCGAAGCGAATCTAACGAATATTTTGCCCAGCCTGCAAGAGAAGAAAATGCCAACGAAGTTTCTAGGGTGGAAAGTATAAAGACAAAAAAATATTAATACAAATAATAAGAAAAGATGTTGAAGGGCTTTATAACTTCTTTTTCAAACATATAGACTACATAATAGTTTGATTGAGTTGTCTACTTCGTAAAATCGGACCCCCACACCTTATTTTTCTCATCGAATCATTGCCATCTTTATTGCTACATTCCTTTCTATTTTTTTCTTATTACTATTCCCTTTTACTGTTTCTGACCTAAATTTAAATAATTGAATGTGTGATTGTGTAGTTTATCTATAAACCTTATTATCATTCCTCCGATCGTGTACCTATCCATAGTAACAATACAGTTAAATTAATTAGAATGTTCATTTTGTTTTCAATACACGATTACAATTATGCCTTAAACTTGTACATACCGACATCATAAATAGCTATAGGCTATAGGTAATACGAAATTAATAATCATAAACAAAATTGTAATCTATAATAGAGACCCTTTTTAAAACACAAAACCAAAAGAAAAAGTTTAGATGGTAAAAGAAGAATCTACCCAACCATAATTGCCATTACCAATGCATATATTAACTTTGATGCATGTGAATTGTGAGGTGATTCAGGTGATGGGGATGATAAACCTCTAACCCCGTGACATTGTTTTTTTATAATCGCGACCGATCGGACATTGTTAAAAAAGAAGAAATTATCACTTTATACTCTTCTGTTTATTATAGTTAGCTTTTCAATATAAAACGGATGTTAAAATTTTGTAACAAAGAAATCGGTCGAGTCGTGTGATTTAGCCCAAAAACTTTGGCATCGTTGTCCATCGTGTGTATTTGGAGGAAAACATCATTAGAGAGGGCCACACTTTATGAATATTAAACACATTTAATTGTACTAAATCCTCGGCATAACACTTTTATCAAGTCACCATGTACTTGCTATAAATATGGTCGAGTCTAGTCCATAATATATATGCATCTCTGATCTCTCATATATATCTGCGACATCGTCTTGGTGAGAGTAGTAGACATGGGTGCTCTTGATTCTCTTTCTGAGTATATCTCCGACTACTTCCGCGTCTCCAGAAATAGGAGGAAGCGTAAAGTCATGCAGACGGTGAATATAAAGGTGAAAATGGACTGCGATGGTTGTGAACGCAGAGTCAAGAACGCGGTTTCCTCCATGAAAGGTTTGAATCTCCAGCTCGTAATCTAATGATGTCGTGAATGGTTTCTGTAGTATTCCTTATAATTTCTTGATGATTTCCATAAAACGTCACCACTTTTATGTAACAACTAACAACAACCCATTTCCATACGAATCTTGTAGGGGTGAGATCGGTGGAGGTGAACAGAAAGATACACAAAGTGACGGTGAGTGGATACGTGGAACCGAAGAAGGTGTTAAAGAGAGTCGAAAGGACAGGGAAAAAGGCGGAGATATGGCCGTACGTTCCCTACAACATGGTCGCATATCCATACGCAGTCGGAACTTACGACAAAAAAGCTCCGGCTGGTTATGTCAGGAAATCTGAGCAGTCGCAGTTGCAGCTGTTGCCGGGAGCTCCCGACGACAACTTCGTTTCTCTTTTTAGCGACGAGAATCCCAACGCTTGTACCGTTATGTAATAATAGTATACTCTAGTAGTATATATTATCCATAACATGTAACGTTGTATCAAGCAATTGGCTCTTTCTCTCTTTTGGTATGTGTATGCATCGAGGAAGAACCAACAAGTAACTTGTGTAAATTTTTCAAAATAAGTTAGTGGAATATGTATAATCAATATGTTTTATATCAAGTATTTTCGGGTGATATTGTTTTTACGATTATCTAAAATTAATATATTAGTGGAATTAAATACTAAAGGTTATTAATTGAAGTTAGTTTTTAGATAAAATTACGAAAAAGAGAAAAACGGTTAAGTGTTTAACTTGGGTAAAATTTAAATTAGGAAGAAAAAAAAGCTACGTGCTGTTGGAGTTTTATCGGTTTTGTGGAGGCAAATTGGTGAGAAAAAGAAGTGTTGTGAATTGGTTTTGTGTTAATCCATGCAAAGTGAAATACATACATCATCATATAATAAAATATTATCAACTTCTAAACTCTATCTTTTATCTTCCATGACGTAATTTCTGACACGTAGAAGATCCAACATCGATTAAGTAGATTTTCTTCGGAGCCATTAACTACGATTGTTCCTCAATCGAAGTATATATGCGGCTGATGATGCACGATATCTGTAATACAACATTTATTAAAAAAACGATATTTATACACATAACTTTGTTAGTAATGACTTTAGGTTTAGAAAATGACGCGTAACTAATCAAAAATAATAATAGTAACCGTAATTAACTTGGAGTACGTAGCCGTAGCAAAATCTTTCCGACCACCCGTAAGGAGACAAGTCATTTTGTAAGTGAAAGTAGAAATTCTGTTTCTCACGATACTATTACTTTATTGCACAGTTTTGTCTGCTACTTGTTTTATTTATAACTATTTTGAGTATGTTTGTTACATGCATGGATGATCGGAGATGTAATATATTATTCTTCGAGTAAAATTGTGGCACCATATAAATATCGAACCTTATAGAATTTTGCTTTTAATATTTTTGTAGTTCACACCTTGATGAGTGTGTATATATATGTGACATATAATATGTTGGCCGAATTTTTATTAATTCTATACTTCTTCATCATACCTAAACTCAAAAAAAAAAAAAAAAATTGCTATATCATAACCAATTACCATTTACCAAGATGTGAATAGTAAAAATACCTCACGTAAAACAAACACCTGTTTAATTCTTAGAATGAGTGATCTTTAAATAAAATCCCAAGAAGATTAAAATCCGAAGTTATATATTATCATGGTGCTTAGGATGATCGAGATGACATTTATTTAAGTATCTCCCTGGATATTTCAAATCAACTGTTTGGGACTAAACTGAAATGACTGATTATTAAATTATGACTTAACACAACTTGAAAGTTGAAACACACAAAAAAAAAAGATATGTTAGATTTGAAATTGTGAAAAGGACACAAAACATAACAAATGGAGAGACTAGAAACGACACACGAAGGGCATACGCAAACGCGCCGCGTTTTAGCGCATTGAGGTGGGACTTAAGGAAATCGTCGTTTTGACTGTGACAACCACAATTTTAGCTTGGTGGGAGATGTGGCTTTTGGATAATCTACACGTGTACAGTAACCAAGACATCGACGGCTTACAGTCATTTTGACTAGGAACACCAAAACATAGACAGGCTCAAAAGTCAATAGTGCTGGCAATTATCTGCGAAACCAAAAACGAACCAAACCTGAAATTTGTAGAACTGGATTGATCGTAAAATTTGAATATAATATAAAAATGTGTGTAATGGTTGAATTTGTTTTAAATTTTGTTGATTCAATTTCAAATTGATTAATTTCGGTTTGAATCGATTATTTTAGTCAGGTTTGATTTTTTTCCCTCACACTCTATAAAAAGGTAATTTGGTGTAATTTCTTGTTAAAATTTCATTTTTGGGTCATTTGGATTGTCAGAAAAATTTTCTTTAAAAAAAACTGAAGATATATCTTTTAGTTCAGTTGTATAAAATAAGATGTGTATTCATATGAAAAGCATAGTGTATATATATATATATATATATATATATATATATATATATATGTGTAACCACTATTTGCCTGCTTTTTACGTTAGAACTCATGCTAGATGATAATCTTTGGAGTAGCATCAACAAGAGTTTTAAAGTAACAATAGTTCCAATTTGTAACAAATAAAGAATAAGTTAGCTTTTGGGCTGTTAGATTATCCCCTTTTGAAAAGTTCTTGGTTCAAGTTGGGTTCATTTTGGGCCTGGCTAGATATATTTTATATTTTGAGTCTTTGATAAATAAGATGCTTTTTTGCTACTTTTAAAATTAATGAAGAACAAGTTTTTATCAAAATAAAATAAATGAAAAAATTTAGAGAACAATAGGTATGCTGGATTTCGGCTAACTCGCAGATAAACGGTTCGACCTTTAAGGCCAAACATAACTACAAATTTCAATAGTTGAAATTCGGTGTTTGGACATGCGAGCAAAGATCCGTTTGGTGAAGGAATGCTTATGAGACCTCCCACAAGCTTGGATGGTAACCTTTAGCCATTATGGGTCTGCGATAATCCATGTTACGAGAGGCGAAGTGAAGTAGCTAAAACGATAACATGGTTAAGACAATTTTCGAGAGATTGGAAAAACTTATTCTAAAAAATTATGTAACGCTTAAGTTGGAGAAAATATCTTAATAACGGGACGAAATATAGTGGACGAACTAGGCGACTAGGCCCAAAAGTTTCCATGGTTTACTTTCATGTATTAGTTATATTAGAAAATAAAAAGAATGAGCTTCTTAGAAGAAGGTCAAATTTATTCGAAAAAGACCCATATTGTCGTATGAATGGACATCTAACCTAGATTTGAGAAGCCAGAATTATGAACCTTGTTAATTGTTATTCAAAAAAAAGAATTATAAACCCTATTTAATTTTCAGTTTTTGATAGATATGAATCATATTAATTTTAAAATAAATATTAGTCATCAAGTACATAATATTCAAATTCTACTTTTATAAATATAGAATAGTTTACTAATTAAAAAAACCATTCCTTTTTAGATTATAAATTTTAGGAAAGAACGACTCAAGAGTCAAAAGTATGAAAGCAAAGATCGACAAAGTTATTTCACACCACACACTCATATGTATAAATACGCAAAAACCCAAAGAACTTCTTCAACTTCTCTCCTCAACTTTTAAGTATTCCACACATACAAACACACAAACACACACTTGACTTTTTCGCATATTTCGACAGCTCGTGAAGGACAAAGACATGGAGCCTAAGCCTTCTCGGAGGATAATGACCAGAGACATTTTCCTCCTAATCGTAACGATGACATGGCTCGTAACCGGAGACGCAGGAGGCATAAAGGCAAAGGAGCGACTGTTCAATCTTGAGAAGCTAGAGATGTTCGTTGACAAGCTTCCTCATATCCCTACTCTTCATGGCTACCACTTCGTCAATGGCTTCCTTAAACCCAAATCTCTTCACATAGGCATGTTCCTCAAGAAATGGGTATTTAATTCTTACCTTATTCTCATTTTAATTCTTTCCTTTTTTATAATTTTTTTCCTTATTCCTCAGTTTTTCTGAAGTTATATTTGGTATGTGAAATTAAATTTTCAGTCTATAGTCATTCGTGAAAACAGATCATCTTCCATTTCTGTCCTGAGGCTATAAATGGCCAAAATATTTAGATAGAAAATTCAAATAATCATCATTTAGTGATTTACACCTGTATTACATGCAAGAAAATAGACTCATTAATTTTGTTGACCAACTTAAACAGACTAATTAATGTTGAATATTAACATTAAAATCCAAATCGTATAAGATTAGTGAAGCTAATTTGCTTTTTAATTACTTGGCTACGGCTCTTAGGTTGTAAAGTGATTAGAATAGATTCGTGTTTTGTGTTCACACTCTTGTCCCCTCCCTCACTTATATTTGTCGTCTTTGAGAAAAAAGTATAATGATAATATACTTTTTATCACTCGTCATGTTGAATATTTCTTGCCCTTCACCGAATGAATACTCAAATTCCTTTTTGTTTATAAACTCTTGACCAAAACAAATATTGAATCTAAACTCATTAATGACATGAATTTAACATATTAAATATTCGAAATCGTATAGATTAGTGAAACTTAATCGCTTTCTAGTTGGCTACGGGTCTTTGTTGGTAAAGTGATTGGAATAGATTCATCTTGTGTATCCAATCTTGTCCTCTTCTTATTATTTTTCCTCTTGGGAAAAATATCTAATGTTTATAAGTCTGACGAATCAGTGCACTTTCTTTTATCACTAGTCAAATTTAATACTACCTCCGTTTTATAATATAAGTCGTTTTAATTAAAAGCACGCAGATTAAAAAGATCTACCTTTTAAAAGTTTAACTAATCATAAAATAGTCTTCATAATATCAATAATCATAAAATATTAAAATAATATATAAATTACATAGAAATTTGAAAACGACTTATATTGTGAAACAAAAAAAATTTTCTAAAACATCTTATATTATGAAACGGATGGAGTATTATTTGCTCTCCTACCGAATGAATACTCTTTTACTCCTTCCGTTTCATAAAGAGTGTCGTTTTAAGGTTTTATTTTTGTTTCACAAAGAGTGTCGTTTTAAGTTTTCAATGCAAAATTTAATGATTTTTTATGTTTTATGACCATTAGTATTCTGCAGATTGCTTTACTATTGGGCAGATTATGTTTAGGTATATAGTTAATGATGTTTTTGTTTAGAAAAAACAAAAAATTTAATGTTTTCTTAATCTGTGTGCAAAACTCTAAAATGACACTCTTTGTGAAACAGAGAGAGTATTATATATAAGCTCTTTACATTTTGTTTTTGATAAATTGTACTAAGAACAAAAAATATAATGATTATTTGATAGAAAGTTAGTACCCACTAACTATATAACTATGATTGCTTTTGTACCACTTTGGCCTAGCTAATTGTGCTCTGCTTCTTTTAACTATTTTATTACTCTGCTAAGTGCTAATTATTGAATCGCATGATTTGAATTTTTGAATATTCTCCAACACTGTCACACACACTAATATGAGTTAAATTATTGTGAACTACAGAAATTCCACAGAGACTTGCCTGCCACGCCAGTGTTCGCATATGGTACATCGAGGCGTTTAGCAACAGTTCCTGGACCGACAATAGAAGCTGTTTATGGAGTCGACACCTACGTGACGTGGCGAAATTACCTCCCGTTACATCATATCCTCCCTTGGGACCCAACAATCTCCCCTGCAATCCCTAAACACGGCGGCATTCCCACGGTGGTTCACTTGCACGGCGGCATCCACGAACCAACTAGCGATGGAAATGCAGATTCATGGTTCACTGCTGATTTCAAAGAGACTGGATCCAGATGGACTAAAAAGACTACGCATTACGTTAACAAGCAACAACCTGGAAACATGTGGTACCATGACCACGCGTTGGGTTTGACTAGAGTCAACCTCCTCGCTGGTTTGCTAGGTGCTTACATTCTCCGCCACAGCTCCGTCGAATCGCCTCTCCGATTACCTACCGGCCGTGAATTTGATCGTCCTTTGGTCATCTTTGACCGAAGTTTTCGTAAAGATGGTTCCATTTACATGAACGCTACAGGGAACAACCCGTCGATTCATCCGCAATGGCAGCCAGAGTATTTCGGCGACGCCATCATTGTGAATGGTAAAGCTTGGCCGCGACTAACTGTCCGTCGCCGGAAATATAGATTTCGAATCACAAACGCTAGTAACGCAAGGTTTTTCCGGTTCTTTTTCTCCAACGGTCTCGAGTTCATTGTCGTGGGTTCTGATTCAGCTTATCTAGCGAAACCAGTATCGACCAAATCGGTCCTCCTCGCTCCGTCGGAGATTGTCGACGTCGTCGTTGACTTTTCAAAGTCAACATCGAAAACGGCAATTCTTGCCAACAATGCACCTTATCCTTACCCGTCCGGAGATCCTGTCACGGAAGAGAACAGCAAAGTCATGAAGTTTAAAATCAAGAACAGATCAGAAGTTGACACGTCGACTATTCCGAAGAAGTTAATTGATTACCCGCCTGCTAATGTATCAACCTCCTCACGTACACGTTACATTGCTATGTTCGAGTATGTGTCTAGCACTGACGAGCCAACACATCTATACATCAACGGTTTGCCGTACAACGCTCCCGTGACAGAAACTCCAAAAATCGGCACAAGCGAGGTATTTATTACTACAATTTCACTAATTTATTAACCGTTTAATTCGTATAATTAACTCTTACAATAATGAAGGTGTGGGAAGTGATTAATTTGACGGAGGATAACCATCCATTGCACATTCACTTGGGATTGTTCAAAGTATTGGAGCAAACGGCATTGGTGAATAGTGAGGAGTTCACAGACTGTATGACTAAAGAAAACGACGCCATCAAGTGTCAGATTAGCAAATACGCTCGAGGAAACAAGACCGCGGTGACGGTACACGAGCGGGGATGGAAAAACGTATTCAAGATGATGCCGGGGCATGTAACGAAGATCCTCGTCAGATTTTCTTACATTCACTCAAACGACTCTTACTCCTTCGACGCAACGCAAGAGCCAGGCTATGTCTACCATTGTCACGTAAGCTAGTAAAAAAAAAAAAAAAAAAACTAAAAAATTGATAACGAATTTAGCTTTTTTTTCTTTTAGAACTCTGACTATATATATATGATTGCAGATATTGGACCATGAAGACAATATGATGATGAGGCCTTTTGCAATGGTCAAGTGACAAGATGTTAAATGGTGGCTATGATTCTAAAACTAAACAACTTATAATTACGAGTGCAGAAAATACGAAAATATTTGATTGAATTCGTGATATCTTTATACAGAAAGTCTTAAGAATACTTCTATTGAAATATTGCTATCATTGTTTTTAACTCGGCCACCTTTTTAATGGGCTTTTGGGCTAACACTTACGGGCTTTAAGGGGCCCAATAACAATATTTTTTGCTTAGTATATGATTTTGGGTAGGGTAAGTGAGAGAGGGGAGAGGTGAGTGAAATTGGAAAATTCCTCGTATACTAAGTTCCTAACCACCAGTCAAATTCAATTCAATGCTCCCATGTTTCTCCCTTATCTGTTCCTGAACCTTCACTCTTTAATTTTGTGGTTTCCTCCTGTTTTCTCATAATTTGTTTATTTTCATATTATATTCGGAAACTTCTGATATTATATCAAATAATACATCCAAATAATTTTAAGCCACTTGTCAAATATCTTCTTCGTCTTCTTCTTGTTTGATACTCCACACACATTTTAGTGAAACTATTATTGAGATACCACACACATGTATATATCTTTGATATTTCACAAAAGGTATCTATCGAAGCCATACTTTTATTTTACGAAAATGTGGATAAGAGTGAGATTTGGATTGGTACTGGTAAGGCAAATTAAATGCGACATATTTCCACATTTATGATTCCACAAATTCTAATGGCTTTGAACATATATGGGACCAGTTTTTATTTGTTTCAACTTCAAAATGTAGGACCAATTAACAAGGTTGATGTGTTCTTCTTGTTCTTCCTCGTTCATTAATGTTTAAATGAGCATGCACGCTTCTCTCAACCCACCAGTCCAAGTCAAACCTATATCCTCTATCCATCCCCTAATCCTATATATCAGTTTGCTTCTCGCAAACCACCTCATAATCAATCAACAGTTTTTTTTTAAAAAAAAAAAACATAACTCAACCAATCTCACTTTGAAAAAGACATGAACAAGATCCGCCTCCGTGCTCTCTCTCCGCCTTCCGGTAACTTATTTTCTTTTTATATAAACAGTAACATTCGTGTGTTTGGCTATTCATATGACCAATTATTCATAGTTTAAAGAGGTCGATGTAGAACTTATATATCACAATATCACATATGTGGATATGCATGTGGGAGTTTGTGTGGATATATCGTTTTAATTTGTGAAATCTGATCCCTAATCATTTTTAGGAATGCAACACCGCGGTAGAAGATGTCGATTGAGAGGTAGAAACTACGTAAGGCCAGAAGTTAAACAAATTAACTTCTCAAAAGATGAAGACGACCTCATCCTCAAGCTTCATGCACTTCTTGGCAATAGGTTCTTATTTATTCATTCTTCTTCTTCTTTAATTCAATAGTAGTGGGTTCGGTACGTGATAATAATAACTGTTTATGGTATGTTTTTTTCAGATGGTCATTGATAGCGGGAAGATTGCCTGGACGAACGGACAACGAAGTTAGGATCCATTGGGAAACTTACTTAAAGAGGAAGCTCATGAAAATGGGAATCGACCCAACCAATCATCGTCTCCACCATCACACCAACTACATTTCGAGACGATACCTCAATTCCTCACATAAGGAACATGAAACAGAGATTATTAGTGATCAATCTTCTTCAGTATCGGAATCATGTGGTATAAGTACAATTTTACCCATTCCAAGTACCAATTGCTCGGAGGATAGTACTAGTACCGGACGAAGTCATTTGCCTGACCTCAACATCGCTCTCATCCCGACAGTGACTTCTTTGCCAGCTCGTTGCCTTCAAGACTTTAGTGAATCCTCTAACAATGGTTCAACTGGTCAAGAAACGCTTCTTCTATTCCAATGAAAATTGTTGTATTTCTTTGTACACATCTTGCTAAATAATGTTACATTACAAAGGCCCCTATATTATAATATTCACTAGAGAGATGTATAACGATGTTTGAAATATGTTAATCCTGAATTGGACCGTTGAAACAACTATTCTCTTAAATGTCTGGTTTTGTTTTCGGTGATTAGTAGTAGTAAATCGTTAATAACCAACCGACGATAACCGCTGAATATGGGATCAATCCAGCTATAAGAAATTAGCTAATATATAGAGCAATGTATTTGCGATGCACATTGACGGGAAGCATTAATTAACTCTCTTAAAATGGACAAGTATGTTCATCTTCCTCCAAACTACACTTTACTCTTTATGCAAAAGCAATTTAAAACTCTCTTTTCGCACAAAGGAATCTATCAATACGAAACTTACTTACTAAAGATATAAAGGAAGCAAATTAGTTTACTTAAACACCAAAAGACATGTATCTATTTAAGGATGTCTTAAGCATGGAGATGTCTTAAGCATGGAGACTATAAGTCAAATATCACCTCACCACCTAGTACAAACACGTTCATAATAAATTTGTATGCTTTGTTTGAGATTTGACTTTGGTGTAAACATATTAGACATCAATTAATAGAGTTTTCTTTTTGTTTGTGATATTGAGAATTAATAAAGTCCTCTTGAAAGTAAATACAATTGTACAACCGCTATTCAAACATCATCTAGTATTAAACCAAACTGCATGACCAAAGAAAACGAATGTTTGATGACAAGTAGAAAGAAGATTGTTTGCTGAGAAAATGGACCCATTTATCATAGGAACTGCAATCATCATTAATGTTTTTTTTATACTATTGCAGAATCTACAACTATCAATGAAGTTGTTTCCACAACTGCATAAACTCTGATCTCACCTTCTCTTTCATACTATTTGTCTTTTGTTTCGCAAGTACAACTACCCCATAAATTCCAGAAATAACGGCGAGTACGTATTGTGGTCAGTGGAGAGTTGTGCATGTGTGGATGTTCAAAGAAAAAATCACCTGCCTTATCAAACACTTCAAGGTTATTTAGAATCTTTATCTGATTCAGAGTCTCAGACGAATACCCTCTTCATTAATCTTTTTTTTTTTTAAGTAGATTTCTTTATTTTTGCATATGTCCAAAAAAAATTACGAAACCAGCCAGTCAAACTTAACAATAATGTCTAAGAGATAATGTTGTCTATTTTTCAAGTTGTTATTGGTTGTTATGTAGGACGCAGAAGTCACGGGCATGGAGGACGCGGCCGATATATGATGTGCATGTCGTGGTTGAACCTTTCTTTTGTTAAACCGATATAACTTTTTAATACACACTATTTGTAAGTCATGTTTATAAATTTTACTAAAAGTATATTAAACTGTTGTAAAATAGTTTCAGAAAATTATAGGTCCCAAATTGTATATATGCTTCAAATCTTCTAAAAAGTTGTTAAAAATTCGGGTCATGTTCGACCATTTCGTTTTCATGCCCATGAACTTTTGCTCCTGGAGTAGCTAAATAGGGCTAAGATACGATCATGCTACAATACTCACCAAAATGATGTTAATTCATAGCATATGCCATGTGAGCATATCGTCCTCAAACTATTTAATTTTTACTTAACATTCGTATGGCTAATTACGAGTCATATATTTTGTAGCCTTTTTGATTTAATGTGTTTGTATTGTATGAAAGAATGAAATTTTAATAAGCGCATATTAAGTTTTATGGTTATGTACTTTTTATTTTGTTTTCAACATTTGCTTTGGAGTAGTTTTCAACATTTAATAAGCGCATATCTCAGGTCTTTCAAATGAGTTTTTCTTGGATCCTGCGAAGAAAATCTCAAAAAGTATAATAATTTGGTCTGGGAAAAACCACACTGCTGCTTTTTAAAAAGGAGTAAAAGATTTCAAAAAGTAACAAATCAACGATCAAACAAACAATAATTACACTTAAAAAGTAAATTTTTAAAGGAAAAGAAAACATATAAAGCTATAATTAGGTAATTACAGAGAAAATATTTTTTTCCATCTTTCAATAAGTGTAAGACAGATCATATACCATCTAAACATTCCAATGCAATGCATCTAAGGACAGCAAATTTTATCTTAGTTTCATTTCATATAGAAAAACTAACTAATTTGACTATTCATTACCATTTAAGATTATATAATACATATAGATATACAATTGGTCAATTTTTTTATTCCTTATAACTCCATTAGAATATAATAAATTTCAACACAACTATAAAATACAATAATACAAGATCGACTTTACAACTAAGCACGCAACAAACCATATCCTTAGATAAATATAAAAGTTGAATTTTCTTGAATTTAAAAGTATGGTTCGTTTCTATTATAAAGTTTGGCTCCAATACAAAATCATAATAATTGAATCTTTTTTAACAACTGTATCCTCTTCTCTTCAAGCTCCGGGAATCTTGCTCTCAATTATCCAGTTTTGTTGTATTGTATTATTCTAATGTATTACAAAAATCTTTATCTAAAATAATTTTTTTAAAAAATCCATATTTGGACTTAAACTGAATAAAAAAAAGGAAAAAAAAAACACTGAAACCAAAACGGTGTCGTAACAGGGACTGATCTTTTTTCGCCACATGGCTTCGTTGGATATAAACATAAACGATAGAGACGCATCTGTGTCAGAAGCGAGCCAGCGAGAGCAAGTCCCAAATTCGAATTTCAAGCCGCCGTATGCGACGGCGTAATGGCTGGTGGAGCTATCACTCCCGCTTCTCTGATCGGTCTTATCTCTGAAATCAATGAGGTTCCGGTGAATTTTGGGGTGTTTAAGAAGGATTGTGCCGATCTCGCGCGACGTGTTGGTCTCTTAACGCATTTGATTGAGGAGATTAGGGATTCTTCTCCTCCTCCGCCGGAATCTGATGCTTCGTCGTCGTTGATTTCTTATGAATGTGATTGGTGGTCTGATCTTGTTGTGGGGCTTCAAGCCGCGAAGCGTCTTTTGTCTTCAGCTACTAGTTTCCAAGCTCGCGAGTCCTCTGTAAGCATTCTCTACGATTGAAAATGGAATTGAATTTGAGAAGCTTTTCGATTTCACTAAACGAAATGATTATTCTTTAGATTCATTATTTTGGAGGAAGAATTTGTTTTTAGTCTTTTAGATTGGAAGCTCTTGTTGTTGACATTTGTGTAGTTCACAAGCATTGTTTAACAAACAAATGAGAAATTATCTAAACTTTGATGTGTAATCTTGATTGAAGGATGGGGCTGCCAAGAGAATTTTATTCCAGTTCCAATGTGTTACATGGAAGTTGGAGAAAGCATTGGGTGATTTGCCATATGATCGATATGACATCTCTGACGAAGTCCGCGAACAGGTAAAGTTCGTTCGTGACTATGAACATTTGTTTTTTCTGTGTCTGGTTGGAGGTGTTTCTAATGTTCTTTCTTGTGATCAGGTGGAGCTAGCAAGATTGCAGTTAAGAAGAGCAATGCAGAGATATGGATCGTTAAATTCGAAGAAGTTCTCGAGTGCTTTATCTGAGCCAATGGAGAAAGATGCCTCAAGCAATACAAAGAGCAAAGTTATTGAGAAGTTGGAGAGTATTCCAGAGACTGTGCATTCCAACATTCCTTTATCAGATGAGAAGAAATTTGAATCACCGCCTCCTCGGAAGAGCTCTTCGGTTTCCTTGGCCTTCTTTTTATCAAAGGATGCTGATGATGAGAGATTAGAGAAAGTAGTTACCAAGAACAGCGATGACTCACAGAAATCGGATAAACTCACAATCCCTGAGGATTTTCTTTGTCCAATCTCTCTGGAACTGATGAAGGATCCTGCTATTGTTTCCACAGGACAGGTCTGATTTTAAATATCAAATCTTTACATAGCGCTAACGTATGGTTGTTGATTTGAAACCTTAACAATGATCTTCCCTCTTCGTTGACAGACATACGAGAGGTCGTACATACAGAGGTGGATAGACTGTGGAAATCTAAGATGCCCAAAGACCCAGCAGAAACTCAAAAACTTTACTCTTACTCCAAACTATGTCCTCAGAAGCCTGATATCACAGTGGTGCACTAAGCACAACATTGAGCAACCAGGTGGTTACATGAACGGTAGGACCCAAAACCCTGATGGGTCTTTCCGTGATCTAAGTGGAGGCATGTCAGCGATCCGGGCATTGGTTCGTAAACTCTCTAGCCGATCAATCGAAGAGCGCAGGACTGCGGTTTCTGAAATCCGCTCTCTGTCAAAAACAAGCACGGATAACCGAATTCTGATTGCAGAAGCAGGAGCCATCCCTGTTTTGGTCAAGCTTTTGATCTCAGAGGACACTAAAACGCAGGAAAATGCTGTCACTTGCATTCTTAACCTCTCCATATACGAACACAACAAAGAACTGATCATGCTTGCAGGAGCAGTCACGTCTATAGTGCTAGTCCTCCGAGCTGGAACCATGGAAGCTAGAGAAAACGCTGCAGCAACTCTCTTTAGCCTTTCGTTAGCTGATGAAAACAAGATCATAATAGGCGCATCGGGTGCGATACTAGCCTTAGTGGATCTGCTTCAGTATGGAAGCGTCAGAGGGAAGAAAGACGCAGCTACGGCTCTGTTCAACTTGTGTATTTATCAGGGAAACAAAGGCAGAGCGGTTAGAGCCGGTATAGTACACCCATTGGTGAAAATGCTGACTGACTCCTCGAGCGACAGGATGGCCGATGAAGCCTTGACCATACTCTCGGTTCTAGCTAGTAACCAAGTCGCGAAAACTGCGATTTTGAGAGCCAAAGCTATACCACCTTTGATAGATTGTCTCCAGAAGGATCAACCGCGAAACCGAGAGAACGCAGCTGCGATACTACTATCTCTTTGCAAGAGAGATACTGAAAAACTAATCTCCATTGGTAGACTTGGAGCTGTTGTTCCATTGATGGAACTATCAAGAGATGGTACAGAGAGAGCTAAACGAAAAGCTAATTCTTTGCTAGAGCTTCTCCGTAAATCATCCCGAAAATTAGGTTCACTCTAAATAGCCCTTAACAAGAATTAATTTAGTTTTGCTGGCTATTGATCTGTTTATTTTGTCCTGTTTTATTTTTGAGTTTTTGGATGACTAATTAATTTCCATTTGAGAAAGTGGTGGAGTCAAAAGAGTTAACGAGAATCGAACTCTTTTTTGACTCACCTTTGTATTGATTTGTTACTTCCAACATATCATATGATTGATAAAGGTCGTTTGTTACTGTTCCTAGAAAGAGAAATCAAATTAGCTTTTGATTTCAAATTCGTTAGAAGTCAATCTCTTCACGTGCCCTTTGGGAAAAAAAGGACAACGTAATTTTCCACATTAATCGGAGTGATTAACGCAAGTGTCATTTTCTCAGAAAACATTGGTCACAAAACTTCCAAATTATACAATGGTCTAAGTGAAGAACAGTACACATTTTCCATTTCAATTTATAAAATTAACCATAAGTTTTGGGTTGTTATTGGTCTTTTCAAGATTGATAGTGAGATGCGACGTAACTTTTGTCTTCTCATTGTTTAAATATTTTTCAAGATTTGGCATTTTGTTGACCAAGAAATGGTTCACTATCATCAGCAACCAACTATAAATCAAATCCAAAATCTATAATGATCTGATCTAACACAGCACCCACCTTGAACTACTGAGCTCTTAATAGGCACCCACCCACCAAAAAAATTTCATCTCATTTGTGAACTTAAAAGATACCAACGTTTTACAAAACATCATTCACCAAAATGGGTAATAGCTTGGTAAGCAAGAAAACTGCGAAAATCATGAACATCAATGGCGAGAGTTTCAAGCTGAAAACGCCGGTGAAAGCTGGTACAGTGGTTAAAGATTTTCCGGGCCATATTCTCTTGGAATCCGAAGCAGTGAAGCGATTTGGGATCAGAGCAAAGCCCTTAGAGCCACACCAAAACTTGGAATCCAAAAGGCTTTACTTCATGGTGGAACTTCCAAGGTATTATTATTATTCTTATTCTTCCAAAGTTAGAATCTTTTTGAGTAATCTTTCGAAACCCGTGTGGCAGAACATGGAAAGAGAGAACCCCAAGAAGGGTTCGGTCGGGAATCCAGATGAGTGCCAAGGAGAGACTAGAAAATCTGAAGCTGTCTCGTAGATCATCATCTGATCTCTCGGTAATGAAGAAGAAGACAGAGGAGGTTGATGATGAAGAGAGAGAAGTGAGTAGCGTGAAGTTGAAGTTACCAAAGTGGAAAATTGAGAAACTGAGGAAAGAGAGTGAGAGTGGCTCTGATTTCTCCAACAAGATCACACAACTTTGTCTCCTTCACATACCAAGTGGTTTGATTCATCAAAGACAACAACATTTGCTTCGTAATGGAGGAAGAAACTTTGGGATTGAAGAAAAAGAAGAAGGTGCCAAAATCACATGAGGTGGTCAATATTTTTTAAGGGCTTTGATCTTATTTTATTTTTGTTGAAACATCGATCCGTTTCTCATGCCATGTTTCTTGCTTCTTTAATTACACTAGGAAACAAATGTGCTCCAACTTATGTCACAACTTACATCTTCTAGTCTATTCAAAATTAAGAAAAATATATACATACTAACAACAAGTGGTAGAATAAGTTGTGTCATTCAGATAATTTTTGAAGAAAATCTTCTTTGATCATTTTGGTTGCAGAAGAGGTTGGAATTCTTGAAAAGAGCAAAGCAGAAGACCTGTGATTTCTAATTTGTTTTCCTCTATTTTATTCTTATTTTTAGTTTAGTTACAAAACACAATTCTTAAGAGAGATACAAAGCTTATAATGTTTCTTATCCACTTATCATGTCTGTGGTTCTGTTACATGACACTGCAACACAATCAGTTTCTATGTCAAAAATCTGAAAATAAGGATGAATTACAGATATTAAGACAAAAGAGAAGAGATATAAGCAAAAGGCAAATCATTAGTATCTTTTTTCTTTCAATTTGGGGGGCTTTAGTTTGGCCGATAATTACAATATACAATTCTCTAGAACTCAGAGAAACCAACACACCAAAAAAAAAAAAAAAAAGATAAATCAATCAGTCAGGTTCGAACCTGTATATTACGTGTCTGTTAACCAATTTCCCTTTTTATTTTGAGAAGAACAAATTGGAATCAGTAAACAAAAGAATGATGAAAAATGGTTTCTTTTATCACTCAAGAGGTCCATGGCTCAGGAACAGTGAGAAAATAAGTGGTCATGGCCTTTCTAAACCTCCTCTTGTACTGTTTTGGTGAGACTATGGTTGGAGAAGCATTCTTGGGTCCACCCAAAATGCCTGAAGCTTTGACCCAAGTCTCAAGGTGCTTGTCCCATGTGTACTGTCTCATGAAGTCGATGATCCCAAGAACCAGTTCTTTACGCTCTTCGTCGAACCCAACCAGCAATGAATAGTCCATCACATCCACAGACTAACAAGGGAGAGAGATAATGAGCCAAACAGATTAACCAAAACGTTTAAGAACAAAAAAGTTATGAGATTACTTACAGCCAAGAAGTTGGTGTCGTTCCATATAGCTCTTTCCAGGCTTCGCTTGGCCTTGCTTCCTAGGAATATCGGTTCTGTGCGCAGTGTCTCAAGCAGATTCATGTCTAACAAAACTTTGTCTGTTCCGGATGTGTTTGGATTGTACCGTGACCGTGCAGATCCTTTGAGATCATAGATCCTCGATATTCTTCTGTTGTAGAAGAGATTCTCCATCACCATCAAATCCATCTTTGTCTCTTTTCCACCTTTCGGATGTTTAATTGATACCTGCAAGCCATAGCATTCCAATCAATCGTTTGCATGCTTAATTATTCCATTTCAAAGTCCTACAAGTTTACAGTTCTTATACTGTCACTAACCTGGTAGATACCGAGAATCTTAGCAAGACAAGTGGGGCTCCCGGAACTGAGTGATTCCTTCAAATATTTGAAGTATTCAGGTGCAAAATCCTCGAAAGAATCCAGCTCGGTTTTGACGACTTGTTTTATGATGAACCTCTCGTCCAATGACTTGGCAAAGTAAACATTGCTTTTCCCTCCCTGTGCAGACCATCTCTGACACCGGCTCAAGGATCTCACAAAGTCCACTTCACTCGGACAGCATGTCTTTCTTAGAGTGTCAAACTGCGTTGCAAAATAACACGTCACAGAGAACTTCACTTTACCTTCAGTTGCAGTAGAGGAAGAAGAAGCGCGGTCGCTGAAAGAAATGGTCAAATGCGGAGACTTTCTATCGTCTTGAGAAGACCCATACACCGCGTGTTGAATGTAATCAACATCCATCGACAGAGAACGCCAAGTCGAGAAGGTGGAAGGTTCGGACTCTTTGTTATTCAAGTTGCTGCTACTACTACTAGAAGCGAGACCTTTGTTAACGATCCACTCCTTATATTCCTTTGAATTGATAGCATATGATACAACACTTGCCGGATCATCATCATATACAGGAACCACGATATCGTTGAGGCCTCGTTGAGGAATCAGCATCCGCGCCCCATCAGCCATTTGAGATGCTGAAGAGATGTAAGTAGGCGTTGAACCAACAATCAGATCCAATTTCTGTACTTCCAGTGGCAACATCTGTGAGTAAGTCCTCATCACATTTGAAACAGGGTCCCTCACCATATTCCTATACTCACCAGAAGCGTGGAAAGATCTGAGGGTCGAGAGATACAAAGAAGATGGTGGCCAACCTTTTCGGATCCGTTCTTGAAATCGTATCGCTGAATCAAAAGACTGGACTCGGATTGGCCTGGCAAGTCTCCGGAGAGGAGAATTAACAGCTGAAAAGCCTTCTGTCTCAGCAATTGTCTCGGCTTTCTCTAGATTTTGAAACGAGCCCAACCACGCCGAATCTATCCTCTCAGACAGAGAAGTGCCAGGGGAGGGCATGCTTTCCGGATCTTTGTTATCACCATTAGCTTCTGAATCAGTATGGGCTTGTTCTTCCCTCTCATCTGAACCCTCCTGCATTTTACGGTCAATCTTTGGAGGATCCTGCATCTCTGGATTCCGAGAAGCATTGTCATCACCAGTTTTAAAAACTGATGCTTTCTTGAGTTGAGAATTTAGCAAGTAAAGCTGATGATCCCAAGCATGAGCACCAATCATGAGTGCCCGTCTCAATCGATTCAGCTCTAGGATATCCAAACTTCCCTGAATTTGCAGATTCTCCTCAAAAATAGGTTGCAGCGCATCCTATTCATGATGAGGAAGATTCCATCAAATTCAAGATTTCAGAAGCACAAGAAGTCTTTAAAAAAGGGAAACAGAAGAAGCATAAGCAAAAGAACCAGAAGCTCACGTCGTATTCATCTTTTTCTTTCACGAGTTGATCTTTTAATCCGATGACGCGACTCTGTAGATCACATGCTTCAGATTGTTCAGGTTCCAGCAAACTGCTTTTTTCTTCCATGCGGTTCAGCATACCAGATATCTCCGCATACATAGTCCGCATTTTACCAGCAAGCTGTAAAATGCACAAACAGAGAAGTATATGAGGGTATAGCATTTGCATATCCAAAACCTGAAGCAAAAGAGCCTTAAACTTTTTCTTAAAATCTACCTCAGCTGCCTCTGTCCGTATCCACTCCTGTTGAGGATGGCTGTTGAACTCAAGCATCGACGGGGGGAGGAGGACCGTAAGTATATTGATGGGAGAATATCTAAAGAACGCAACCATGTTACCAAATCTGCAAAACAATAATGTTAATAGTGCTTTAACAACATTGAGATAACCTTAGAGAATGAGATTATACAGCGTGGTTACCCATAGAATCGAAGGCAGTCTCTTTGAAGCGAATGACCACAAGATGCAACTCGATTCGCAGTTGCATGATTCGAAAAGCTAAGTTCCAAAAACTTTCCAAAAGACAGTCCCCATGCTGCATCAGACATAACTACTCTACGAGTAGCAGGTGGGACTCCATCTACATGTGCACATCTTAAGCAGCGATGCCACATCCATATCTTCCCATCTTGTTCACCAGGAAGCTTCATGGAAGGGAGACGTCTAACATTGATAGTAAGGTTTCCATTCTGATGAGAATAGCAGAGCACATGCGCATCCACCAGCTCCTTGCAAGATCTACAACTAGAAGTCTGTCCAGGGAATAGGATATATATTAGATTGCTTATTTCATGGAATTTGTAGAAGACAAAAAAATGGATTCACATTTTAGATGAAAGAGCTACCTTATCGAATAGATCATCTTTCAAATATCTCCCGAGAGGTTTATCAAATGATCCATAGAACTTAATCCGCAAGAGTCGTGAGCGTTCACATACTGATTCTTTCAATACACAACGGCTTGAAAATGAGACCAATATGCTCTGATGAGAGTCCGCAGCAGAGAAATACTCGCTGGAAACATCATCTTCATAGAGGCTCTCATTTTGTGGTAAATCTTGAGTGTTCACTAATTGGTTCTCTTCTTCACCTCTGCCGTTCTCTTCTTCACCACTCAGCTGTTGAGTCGGCGTTTCAGGGATTTCACTACTTAAGCACAAAGTGGGTTCATGCAAATCATTTAACTGATTCGAAGAATATGATCTTGTCACCAAATTACTGGCAAAATCTCCATTCAGGGCATCAGATTGTTCAGTCTCAACTTCAGAAGCAATTACGCCAGAAGATGGTGGGAATATTTGACTAGGATCAAAATCCTCACACAATGATTCACAAACCTCAAGTTCAGGCAGCAGGGCCGTATTTTCATCTTCATGTGCAGCTGTTTCAATCAAAGCTTGACTATCTGTTTCTGTAGGAGATTGAGTTATTAAGGAAATGCCTTCATCAATGATCCTCCTTTGTGATGCTGTCCGCACCATTCCCGGTTGTTTCAGTCTAATTTTAGGCAGAGAAGCACCTTCATCCGCAAGGAATGAAGTCTCCAGTGATAAGTGATAAGCTGCAAATACAGCGTACTGAATAACGTGTTTAACCTTCTTTAGCTCCTCGCGACAACTTCCCCGAAGCACAACCTGCACAAGTTTCAGAAAAGTCTAATCAAACTGAGAATGAAGAACTGGTGAACAGTTTATACAAATAACAAGTACACTCCGGAAGGAAGATAGTAAACTTAAGGTAGCAGACTTCTTAGCTACATAGGTTCAAGCTTTATGAGTAAAAAAACCCGTGAAAGCAATAAATGAGCATACCGTGCAACCTAGGCGCCTAGGACACCCTTCAAAGTACATCAATGTCCTTGATGGTTTTCTGTTTGACTGATTGCCAGCTTCATGTTGCTCCAACACTTTCTCAGTCCGGAACAGCTCACAGTGACCCAATCGAGCAGTAGTAATACTATCTAGTGAGGGGCAAAGAACAGCACCGGTGCAACGGGCTATACGGTCCAGCAATGACTTTTTCACATTGAGCACCAACGAAATTTCCTTCTCTAGAAGGTATTGTTGGGCATATGAAGATGCACTTTTCTCTACCAGAAGAACATTAGGACGAAGGGACTCTATTTTTGCAATTATCGCCTTCATATGTTCATTTTCCTGTCCAACACACATAATTCAGTTTTGTTCAGCTTGTTAATCAAGAGGATATTATGCAGCCATCATATAGAAACAGTAACACACCAACCTGTTGAAGCAACGTGTTAAAGGATGCTAATTGGCCTGCAACTCTCTGATACTCAAGAGACCCAGCTAAAAGCAGCACCCTTGGATTTTTGTACTGTGATGTCATTCGCTTGTGCGTAATGTTCTTGCTACACACTATTCCCCTGATGAGAATGCTGCAGAAACAAGGTATTCAATTAATAATCATCAGCCAGAGGACAATACTAAATTACTAATGCAACGAATAGTGGCAAAAGTTTGAAAAGAAAAGGTTCCAACAGATAATTATACCTCTCATTTTGATTTCCCGATGCTACACATTTTATTTTCACATAATTCCCGGGATCCATACTGCCGCCTGCACGAGTATCCGGCTTTACAAAATTTGCAGCCTGCCACGCTAAAGCAGTGACAATATCCAGCCATTCCCCAGCACTGCCATCATCAGATGGACTAAGCTCCTCCCCACG